TGGGGAAATGGGGAGGGTTTGTGGAAGAGAATAATAATTGATAAGTACGGCAAGGGAGAGGGACATTGGCAAGATTGGATTTCTGAAAATAGAGGAGTAGGATCAACATGGTGGAGGGATGTGTGTGCTATCAACACAATGGATGGGGAGAACAATGGCTGGTTGAAGGAGGGTTTTAAGATTAACATCAGGGAAAGGAAGACTGTGAGTTTTTGGTGGGATAATTTGGGGGGAGAAGGCTGCCTTGCTAACAAATTTCCTAGATTATATCTATTATCAACAGGAAAAAACAATACATGCAGCGTAATGGGAAGTAGAAGAAATGGATCATGGGAATGGAATCTACCGTGGAGGAGAAATTTGTTTGAGTGGGAAGCAAAAGAGGCAATGGAACTTCAGAGCAAGATAAGAGACGTGAAGACCTCACAAGGAAGCCCGGATAGCTGGGAGTGGATTCATGACAAGGATGGCTAATACACAACAAAAATAGCATATACACTTTTAACAAAAGAAGAGAGTGAAGCAAACGGAATTACAACATTCACAAGAGTCTGGAACTCCATCCTACCAAGCAAAATCTCGGCTTTCAACTGGCAATTACTACTGGATAGAATACCAACCAAAATGAATCTACTGAGAAGAGGGATCATTAAAGACATGGGAGAAAGCAAATGTGGAATATGCAATGAAGAAGAGGAGGACACAATGCACATGTTTTTAAAATGCAAGATGGCCCGATGGTTATGGATGGCTTGCGCAAAGTGGTGGGGGATTAATGTCACATTAGAAGCGGACTGTTGGAACACTTTCCAAAACTTCGAAAGAGAGCCGAAAGAGACAAGCTTCAAAGATGGATGGGATTGCATTTGGAATTCCTTGGTGTGGTCGGTGTGGTTGGCCCGAAACCAAAAGCTATTCCAAGGCAAAAAGATTGATGCGGGAAAGCTATTTGAGCTCATCCAGCTGAGATCCTTCTTTTAGATTAAAGCAAAAAAATGACAGGTATGCTTTTAATATTGTAAACTAGTTAATTAATCCAATTGCATGCTTGAAAGATTGCCATAGTAAAAGAAGGGTACCAATCAAATAGCTGCGAGACCAGGAGTGTTTTTGCTTTTAGTTTTTTATTAATGTAAGATGGGCTGATCAATGTTTTAAGGGATGAGTACCCCTTGTACTCATTTTAATATACTATTGAGATTGTTTGCTATTCAAAAAAAATAAATAAATAAATAACAAAAGGAATCAGGAGCAATCTTAGAGCAACAAAATAATTGGACAACTTGTCCTAATTATCTGATCTGAGTCCCACGACACTAACTATAGGTTCACCAATATTAATTTATATATATGAAAATAAATTTTATTTTTAATATTAGTATCATATTGAACAATGAATTATATAATTAATAAAATTAAAATTAAAATTTAAGCTTATATAAATTAATAAAAAATATATTTTTAATTTATATATTAAAAATATAAATTAAAAATTTTCAAAATATATTTATATTTGTAACTTATTTCAAGTCAAACACGACACGACACGACACGACACGACACTTAAACATCATTTATCTTGGATTAAACAAAATCTTATTTAGAAATAGCAACATGCATGTTTCACTGCCCATTAACCAAACCCCTTGCTTCTCTCCTCTTAGCTGGCGGCACACATAGAAAACTCCTAGCCAGCAGCATACATGGGAAAAAAGAAAAAAAATCCAAGAAATGCTTCAACAGTGTTGATCGTTTATGATTAATCGGTGCAGATAATCGGCTAAAGCAAACGTGTCAGAAAAACAAATGACAATGAATAGGGGTTATGTATGGTTCAATTTCGGTTTAACCAAAAGTGATATTTGAGTTATCTGTTTTTTATTTTATTTTTATTTTTATTAATCAAAATTAAACTGAAAATATTTATGGATTTTCAGTCTGGTAATTAAAATAATATTAAATGTCTATTTCAATTTTAATAATGACTGTAATTAATCAAAATTTAGAGGTTTAAGGGATATAAATGTAACAAAATATAAAAAAAAAGATAGATAAGAGTAAAATATGAATTTTATTTTATTTTTTACTTTTAGATATATTTTAAATTTAAATATTAAATTAGAACAAAATTTTTATGGTACAACTTAAAAATGAAATTGAATAAGATGATTTTTATGTTTATTTATAATATTTAAAATAATTATTATTTATTTTATTAATATAAAATTTTAATTTTCAATTATATATTTGGTTTCGATTTTTTTAATCTTTTAACTATTAACCAACTAAATTTTTTTAGCCATCCAACTAAAATTAAAAAAAATAATTAATGACTATTTATAACTAACAATTTAATTAATCTTTTTTCCATTTTAATTACTCATTTCAACTAATAATTTGCCCAGCCCCAACAATTAACAAAATAAGGGGAGTACAGGTGACATTTGGTTATGAATCATTCATAAAACCTCAATTTCAAAATCTTATAGAAGAGAAATTGAATTATTTTTTTTATATTAAAAATAATTGATAAAATATTTGAAAATTTAAAACTTGTGGTTTTTAGAGGACATAACAGGCTCATTTTAAAAAGGGGATACACGTGCTACTTAAATTTTCCCGCTGCTGATGATTGTAATTTTCACTCACTTATTGTGCTCATATCTGATTGTAAAACTCTAATACGTCAGATGTGAACTCAATCTGCTACGGTAAGATAATAGGCTTCTGACTACCTGTCTAAAATTGGCCTTACTTTAAATTCTCCTATCGTGTCTCTGAACAGTGTACCCTGATTACCGCCGAATCTTCTGCATGTTCTGACGTTGTGATCTCAGTTGCTAGGGGCGTGGACATCTAGCCTATACTTGAACATGTAGGCATCTAGCCTAAGTATTCTCTTTTTCTACCAAAAAAACAAAGAAACCGAACGCTTCCTGGTGCTGTCTCTGTCTCCCATTAATTGTTATTTCTACGGGACTTTTTGAAGAATACCATCTAGGGTTTTTGTGTAACAGTGTCAATCGATTTACTTTCCTCTCTCCAGAAACTTAGAAGGTACGCCTTTAACCGACCTACCCATGTTTGTCAAAAATTCAGAGCAACAAAAGCACTAGTCACCCAGCCGAATTTTCTCTTTCTTTGTGAATTCCTCGACATACCTTTTCATGGAGAAAGCAGAATCTCCGATTTCCATCCCTCAGATGCCCGCTCCCCTAGACTCACCGGAGGCTTCTTCAAAACCTCACAAGAAAAGCTTTGAGATCACTATGGAGGCCGCCACTCTCCGCTCCCCTTCCTTCAACGAAGACACTTACTTTTTATCCCATTTGAAATCTTCCGAGAAGAAGGCACTCCAGGAGCTCAAGGACAAGCTCGCCGCTTCCAATGGCTCCGACAACGACTGCACCATGTGGGGGATTCCTCTTCTCGGCGGAAGTGACAAAGCTGATGTGATTCTCTTGAAGTTCCTCCGCGCCAGGGACTTCGGGGTGTTCGATTCGCTGCATATGTTGGAGAAATGTTTGGCTTGGAGGAAAGAGTTCGGAGCCGACGGCATCACGGAGGAGGACTTGGGGTTTAAGGAGTTGGAAGGAGTGGTGGCTTATATGCAAGGGTATGACAAAGAAGGGCACCCTGTTTGCTACAACGCTTATGGGGTTTTCAGAGACAAAGATATGTACGAGAGAATCTTCGGAGACGAGGAGAAGCTGAAGAAGTTTCTGAGATGGAGGGTTCAGATTCTGGAACGAGGCATAAACCTCCTCCATTTCGAGCCTGGTGGGATTAACTCCCTCATTCAGGTTACTGATCTCAAAGACATGCCCAAAAGAGAGCTCAGATTCGCCTCAAACCAGATCCTCTCACTCTTTCAAGACAATTACCCTGAAATGGTTGCTCGAAAGGTAATGAATTTCTCATCAATCAAATGGGTTTCTCCATTCCATTCATTCTTTTCACTAATTGCATTCTGTTTTTGGGTTCTTAGATTTTCATCAATGTCCCATGGTACTTCAGTGTGTTATACTCCATGTTCAGTCCATTTTTAACCCAGAGAACCAAGAGCAAGTTCGTCATCTCCAGAGAAGGAAATGCAGCGGAAACACTCTACAAGTAAGTCTTGTTAGCTCCTTTTGGATCTCCTTTTCAACTGTTCTCCCCTGTTTATGCTCTAAAGCAGCTTCTGCAATTTGGGGAATTTATTCAGAAATTAGTTTACCCTGTTGTTACTAATTTGTTATTGTTTATCAGATTTATAAGGCCGGAAGATGTTCCGATACAGTACGGTGGACTGAGTCGACCCAGCGATTTGCATAATGGATCTCCAAAACCAACATCTGAGTTCACCGTTAAGGGAGGAGAGAAAGTGAACATTCAAATTGAAGGGAATGAGGTCCATTTTATAAACCCTAATGTCCCTTAATTTTATTTAGCCTGAAAAAGCTTCTAAATTTCGTACGTGGGTGATTTAATTTATACTTAATTAATCAGGCTGGTGCGACCATAACCTGGGACCTGGTGGTCGGTGGTTGGGACTTGGACTACAGCGCCGAATTCATCTCCGGTGCAGAAGGCAGCTACTCCATTGCCGTGGAGAATCCACGGAAAATGGCTCCCTCAGACGAGGCCATCCACAACTCCTTCACATTTCCAGAAGCCGGCAAGATGGTGCTCTCCGTCGACAACACCGCCTCCTGGAGGAAAAAGGTGGCTGCTTATCGCTACATTGTTCGAATATCCAGAAGTGTATAGCATTTTAATTTCCTCACGGTTAATAGTAAGGTCATAAGAGTACTTATATGCCTTTCCTATCTACATTGAAGAAGAAGAAAGTAGTTTAACTTTGTCAGAAAACAATCTATTTTCTGTGTCATTCCTGGGGAAAGATTTCAGTTTGAGAGTTGAAACGGAGCTTTCACTTGTGTAATGTAAATCTGGTGGATTTTATCTCTAGCATTGCTTCTGAGAACTATATATAAGATTAGTAGCACTACAAGAAAAAGGACAATTCTCAGCATTTATTCAAGTGTTTACCTAAAAATGCAGGGACAAAAGTTATAAATATTTGCAAAAATGATACATAAATACTCGCGTTGACAGTGTTGATAAATACTATGCCTGTATTTTATGTAAATATTAGTATAAACTTCTTTTCCCTTGCATTTTTTAAAAACATAGGTAAATCACTTGAAAAATACAAGTCATACCTTTTTTAAAAAGTCCTAAAAATGTAGCAATATTTGATATTTTCACTTATATTTTCGGTCAAACGCAAGAAAAGTATATCTTTTTTTGGTTTTTTATTATTTTTGGCTACCAAAACAATATCGATTTGTTAACAACAACATTTAGAATCAAAGCATAATTAATCAAACCAAATATAACATCAATTAATCAAAAATATGCACAAACTTGACATATTACTCAATACTTAATTTTATCAAAACCAAATAAAATGTAACAACAATAACAATACCTAAATAATATCAAAACTTGAGTTGTCATATTCAAAGATGTTGGAATTTTGAGGTAATAAGAAAGCATTGAGAGAGGAGTTAGAGGAGAGTAGGAGGAGATTAGAACTTAGAACGTAACATGACATAGAACATAAAGTCATAAGGGTACAGACATTCACCCAACGGAGAGGAGAAACCATGCTTTCTCTTACTAATTTTTCATTCCATTTCTTCCTTCCTTTTATAGTGGAAGGCTACACATAAAGCAATAATATTTTTCTACCTACTACAACAATTATTAACTACTTAAAACATGGACTAAAATGTTGAAGTTTGCTGCCATATCTTGTAGGCCATGTGCAGCTCCATGCTACTGTCACTTTGCCGCTACTATATATGCAGTCATATTGCAGCATCATTTAGTGGCTCTCATTTCTTTGCATTTTCAGCTTTCATGCCATAGCTCCAACAAACTCCTCCTTGGCATTAAAGCTGCAGAAACAAAATCTTACTTTAATTAGCACATTGAATCTGCCGGTTTCAGTTCTTTGTGCTTTGGTTTGGTTTGTTGTTTACTGCCAAGTACCATCTTCTCAAAAATTTCAGCTCCTCCTGCAAATCAGCGTCATCTTCGTTATAGTTTTGCTGTTTGAACAAATTCTGGAGCCTCAAACATTTTCAGCAACTCCACCCTTGCCGTAGCTTTATCCGTGGATCTTTCCTGCTTCAGTACATTCTAGAGTTGTGATTTTGTGCTTGGTCTTGGCTGCTCCTTCACCAAACTTCTTTGCCATAAAGCGATGGAGTTCACAAATACATAAACATGAAGAGTTCTT